AAGCATCCTTGATTACAGCAACTCTAGGTTTGAATCTGTTCTTCAGTTCCTTGAGCTTAAGAAATGCTGAGCGAGTTCGGCCCTTTTGATTTTCTGACTCAAGTTCCTCGCACATTTCATTGTAGTATTTTGCTTTGTCATTCCGAGCAGCCTATTCAAACATTAACCAAAATAAATATGTAAAAAAAGAAAACTAAACTTGTTGCTGTGTAGTAGATTCTGACTCATTAATTGCTTAACTACTGTGCCTGCATAGCTCCTAAATACTAATCTAAGTGATTTTTATGAAGGGACTTTGTAACTGTCACTGTGCAGTGATTAAAGTACTCAGCTACCAACGGAGAGATTGGTTTGAATCTACTAGTAGCTCCATGAAGAAAATAAGCTTCCACAGTGATTGCAGCTTTAGAAACATGATGGGGAAATTCTACTGCTTTATAGTGTTATTGTGGGTTGGAACTGACTTGACTGCAAGGGGATTTTTTGAAATTAAAGTGCCAAACCAGTTGACCATAAAAAGAGCTGTTATCTAGGTGGGCTTCACCTAATTACACAAGCCATTTAAATCTGGAGCTAGAGTTAGAAACGGGGGACGTCAGAAATTTGAAGAATGTGGGGGATCTGGCATGCAAGATGTTCTCTTCACTGGGGCCACACCAGGTAAGGAATGCAGGCATCCCTAAGGAGCTGAATGAAGCCTAGGGCTGACAGCCAGCAGGGAAATAGGGACCTTAGTTCTGCAGCTGCAAGGAACTGATTTCTGCCAACATGAGTGAGTTTGGAAGTGAATCTTCACCACAGTTGCTAGGACAGAATGCAGCCGGTACTTCTGACTTACAGAACTGTGAGAGCTAAAAGTGAGTGTTGTATCACTAAGTTGGCGTTAATTTGTTATGCAGGCATAAAACACTAATACAACATCCCATCTCAATCAAAGTTAAAAGTAAGTCTACCTTTTTCCGTGTACTGCAAACCAACCCACACTACTACATGCTAGAGTAAACAAGGCAAGCTAAGTTACATGATTCACTTGCAGAGTAGAAATCACCAAGTGAGGGCTGCAAGCACTCCAGGAAAAAGCTTCTACTTGCCTCTGTGAGCTGTTGTCTCAGTTGCTCTTCAGTGAGGCCCAGGGATCTCATCCCTCGAGCCCTGCAGGCAGCTTGGAGCTCTGAGACACTCAAAGCACTCACCCCTTCTTTGGCAATTGCCTGGGAGGGGAAAAAGTAAAAATGGTGTTTGTTTTGATGGTTCCGATTTCACATATCCTCCAATTTCTGACTAATGAGAAGGAAAGGAAGGGTTACATGCTTTGACTCTTTGTTGGACTTTGCAAAAAATAGAATGACTCAGGAAGGTAGGGGTTGAGGAAAGGAAATCTTGTAGTAGCATGGGTACTAGAATATCAGAGATATTTGCATAACCCCTCCCCAACATTCTGCCACCAAAGAAATTCATCCGCTCTTGATTTTCCTGTAGCCTGTTTGTGACATCTATACAGTTGTTCTCTTTCTAAATCTAAATGGCAGATTTATAATTCATTAGAAAAAGATTTTACTTGAAAAACTTTGCAGTGTTCTTCCTCCACAGTTCCTTTTAACACAACCCCAGGGATGGCCCTCTCTATGGACCACCAAACTTCCTCATTTAATATTTTAACACAAAGCTGATTTGATGTGACTGAGAACTATAATACTTCTGAGACTGGTCTAGTTTATTCCAGTGGTCTGAAAGCAATCAAAATCTAAACAGGGTTGATGGGATTATGCGTTCTCTATCTGGGAAACCTACTTCCTCAGGCAGAGTAGTTTAAAGTAGCTGATCCAGATTCTAGAAGTGTTCTTCTTTCTGGAGATCTTAGCAGTAGTTATAGTCCATACAGTGCCCTTTTATTCTAAGATATCTGCTTTGCCTCCAGGAATATGCTTCACCGTTCCTTCTTAGGAGGCCAACTCAACCACTTTATTGGGCACAGCTCCAAGGGAACGGAGACGTGGGTGGTAGAACTCCGGCTTTGGCAATGCACTGCCAGGAAACTACTAAGCACCTATTTCCTTCCCTATTGGGTCTTACTCGCTTTAGATGAATCCCAGTTAAGACACCCAAATTACTAACTCCCTGATGATGGCCTTCTCAACAGAATGGGTTAAATACAAGGGGGGGCGCTCAAAAACTCATCACTGTCAATTCAGAACAAGCTCATAGCTGATCCTCCAAAGGGTTTTTTCAGGCTCTAAAATGCATGAGAGAAGAGTGACATTTTTTCCCCCTCAGAGCCCTTGGTAGATTGGGACTGTCAAAGAGGAGCTAAGTTTGATTCAGCTGTGCAACTCCCCACACATTATGCCACAAATAACTCTGAAGTTAGTAAGTAAAGTGCAAGTTGTCATGTTTATTACTGTTTAAACTACTCATTTTGCCAGAACATGCCAATAACCTAGACGCAATAGAAAACACTGAACTTAATCACTTGTCTCCCCCAAAACCACTGCCACTGCATCAGTTGCAATTCAGAGCAAACCTCCACTGGGTTTTGGAAGCTATAAATCTTTACAGGAGGAGACTTCCCAGCCTTTCCCTAAAGATTGGCTAGTGGATTTAAGTTGTCAATCTTTCTGTTAGTGGCCTGATACATTATGTCTTATAGATTATGTCATATGCCACCAGGGCTCCTTCCTATTATCTTCCAATGCCTTGCTAATTTCCTACAGCTATAATTAAGCTCTTACTTTATCATCTTCTTTTATAGAGTTCAGTTTCATCAAGAGCTGAAAGCGGAGCAAATTGTTGGTTCCAAAGGTCTGTAATTCCAGCAGTTTGCAAAGGGCAACCAGCTGAGGTCGATCTAAGTGTTCCATGGTTAACTCATCCTCAAATAGTTTGGAAAAGCGAATTATCTCCTTTGTGGAGGGCTTGTGGCCTGTCTGGACCTAGGCAGTGGAACAAAGAGGCTAATTAAAATGTGTTTCCTACTTAATTTGCCTTTCCCAGTTGGCTATTTGAAAGAGACATCAAAGGACTTATGGACTCTGATGTCTGGAAATGGACCCTGTACTACAAAGAGAAGTAAAGAAATCTGCCAAAAGTTGGTTTAAATCAACTAAAGAAGCTAGAGTAGTTCAAAAGTTTGGCTCTAATTCTATTGCTTTTTCCAAGAAGTTACAAAAGACTTCAACACATCAATTGTTATAAGATAGACTCTTCTGCTAACTATGACAATGAGTTTCCCAAACATAAAATGTATAATGTTGTACATTTATAAAGAAGGAACTCTGGTAGCCTAGTGGTAAGAAGCTGTGCTGCAATCCCAAAGGCATACGGTTTGGATCCACCAGCTGATCCACCAGCTGTTCCACAGGAGAAAGATGGACAATCTCACCCCACGCTATTAACTGCATCTAAAAGCCCACTGGAGAGTCAGCTATGGGTCAGTTCCAACTCAACATTACATAACAACAACAACATTTATAAGGTAGGTATTTTCAACTTCGACAATTTGAGAACAGTCTGAAAAATTCATGACAACATGCATCTTTCATATCACCCTAAACCAGAAGTTGTTTGGTATTGTAATAAAACTTAAGACCTGTTTTACATAGGATGAGAACTGTGTAGAGGCGTCTCCCAACTTAGCTCTGTTTCTCCTTGCCATTTCTGTAACTGTTTCTTGAAGAAATTTTGCTAGTTCTAACTTTGCAGCCATTCTCTTTTTCTGCTTTTCTTCCTAGAAAGTAGAAGAGAGAAAAAAATTAATCAATCCTTCATGATGGCAACTTGGTAGACGAGGATGAGAGAAAAAGAATAGTCACAATAATCACCTTGCTGTTGCTCATCCTTATTTCATTAGATGTTAACATTGAACTGAGTGAGATTTATGGAATTAGAGCAGAAAAAGAGGAACATATATTTGTAACTTTTCTGCTTAATTTTACTTCTTAGTTTTCTTGAGTACAACAATCATAAACATTTTATGTATCTAAACTATCCCCTGAATGGGAGACTTCTGCCAGTGTTGGAGAGAGATACTACCTTCCAATTTGGTTCCAACTATGTAGGCTATAGCAAAATACAGGGCAACTCTCAGCCCTGTATTTTACTACACAAAGAAGGATAAATGGAAAGTATCCCTTCCCCCCTAGTAGCTTAAAGTTTAAGTGGGAAAAAACCTTAAGCACAATAAATCACATTAAAGCAGTATAATAGATATATGCGCAAAGTACCACATAAAAGGAAACTGACATATTTAAAATATGATCTTTGTAAGTTCTTTTCTCCTTTAAATTTTATTTGTTGCTAAGATATTTATACACAAAAATATATACACTAATTCTATAGTTTCTACAGGTACCAGTTAGTTACATTTCCCCAGCCCTGCAACTAACTATTCCCCCTCCTCCCTTTCTGAGTTTTCCCTTCCTCATTAACATAAACTCAGGCCCTCTTATGGTTTCCTATCTAACCTTCTACATTGTTGATGTCAATTAGATCACATCTATATAGAGCTCCTGGAGAGGGTGAAACCAGACTGCTCCTTGGAGGCAAGGATTCTGAAGCTCCGTCTGACATACTTTGGGCATATTGTAAGGAGAGACCAGTCTTTGGAGACGGACATCATGCTTGGAAAGGTGGAGGGACAGTGCAAGAGAGGAAAACCCTTCATGAGACGGATTGATTCAGTGACTGGAGTAATGGGGTTAGGTGTGTCAGAGACAATAAGGTTGGCTCAGGATAGAGCAGGGTTCAGAGCTGTTGTACATAGGATCACTATGAGTCACAGATGACTTGATGACACATAACAACATATAGAGCTCTTACGGAGCTCTGGTGGCCCTAGTAGTAAGAAACTGCACTACAGTCCCAAAGTCATGAGATTAGAATCCACAAGCTCTTCGAGAGGATGGGCAGTCTCCTCCAGTAAAATTCACCACCTCTGAAAAACCTGCTGGAGAGTCAGCTATGGGCCAATTCCTACTAGACGGCACTCAACAACAGGCAGCGCTGGTGGCCTAATGGTAAGAAGTTGGACTGTTAACTTGAAGGCTTGCAGTTTGAAAAAGATGGGCAATCTCCTCTTATGTGATTTATAGCTTCTGAAAATCCACTCAAGGGTCAGTTTTTAGTCAGATCCTACTCCACGACATTTAAGAACTGGATAACATAGGTCTTAACAGAGTACAATGCTCAAGGCAAGCATTTTTTAAAAAGTTAAGCTAAACTAGGTTATCTTAGGCAATACTTTCAGGGGTTCATCTGCCCTCCATATATCCTCCACTACACACTTGTTAATTTGTCAATTGTCATCTGTTAATTTGCCAATTGTGCTATCAAGACTTGAGTGTTGTTATGATGCTCGAAGCTATCATAGTATTTCATATACTTCAATAATTTGAGAACTAAAGTGCGTCTGATTCAGGCCGCAGTCTTTCCAATCACTTGCTATGCATATGTAAATTGGACAATAAATAAGAGTGACAGAAGAATTTATGCCTTTAAGCTCATCTGTTGAAGAAGAGTACTCAATATCCCATAGGCTGTCAAAAGACCAAACAAATACGTCTTTGAGAGGGTGCAGCCAGACTGCAGAAGCAAAGATGATGAAGCTTTGCCTTCCCTACTTTGGGAATGTTGCTATGAGGGGCTAGTCCTTGGAGAGGGACATGATAATCAGAAAGGTGGAGGGTTGGCAAAGGAGAGAAAGACCCTCGACCAGGTAGATTGACACGGTGACTGCCACAATGGGCTCTAATGTGTCAGGAAGTGTGAGAAAGGCACAGGATAGGTTAGGGTTTAGTTCTGTTGATCATAAGGTCACTATGAGTTGTATTTGACACCTAACAACAAAAACAACAGTATTCCATATTTAAAATACATCAAGTTCACCCATGAGAAACAAATTTCAGTGAAACTTACAGGCTAAAACAGACCAAGAAAACAGGACTAGTCATTCATTTCTGAAATAATGGACCCTTGAAAAGCTGGTAATAACAGAACACTGTATCACTAGAACAGTTTTAAGATGAGATCCTCAGGTTAGAGGGCACTCAAAATATATAAGGAAAAGCTGCCTCCTCTGAGTTGTTGTTGTTATTATGTGTTATTAAGTCAGAACTGACTCAGAAGTGACACTCTACTGTGTTTTCAGAGGCTGTAAATCATGTGGGAGGAGACTACCCATCTATCTTGTATGGAGCTGCTGGCAAATTTGAACCACTTGCCTTTGGGTTGGCAGAGCAACTCCTTACTACTAGGCCACCAGAATTCTCTTTACAAAGTAGAGTCTACCTTAATGACATGGATGGGATAAAGCTTTCACTCAACAAAGACCTTCATTTCTTGATGCTGCATGACTTAAAAGGAGGAGAAATAGCTGTAAACATCCATTAATAATTGGCACATGGAATGAAATTAAATGGAATATATAAATATTAAAATTCTAGGCATCCCAAAGTTAAAATGGGTTAGTACTGGCCATTTTGAATCATATGGTCTATTAAGCAGGCAATACCAAATTAAAGACTAATGGGATTGAATTCATCACCAAAAAGAGCATTTCAAGAGTTGTACTATATAAGTAAGTAACAGTTCTCTCCTGAAGTACAATGCTGCCAGTGTCAGAATAATATCCATACACATACAAAGAAAACCTGTTAAGACAATTCTTTCTCAAATTTATGCACCAACCACTAAAGTAAAAGAAGAAGAAATTGAGAATTTCTAATGCTTGCATTCTGAGACTGACTGAACATGTGATAAAGAGGCATTAATAATAACTAGTGATTGGAATCTAAAACTGAAAACAAAAAAGAATTGCCAGTAGAAAAACAAGGCCTTGATGACAGAAGTAAAAAGATAATATGATAGAATTTTGTGCAACAAATAATTTATACATTGAAAATTTATTTTTGAGGTAAGCATATTTCTTAAAAACACTAAATGAGGGGATCTCTGGTGGCCTAGTGGCAAGGACCTGCAACTACAGTCCCAGAGGTGCACGGTTCGAATCCACCAGATGCTCTGCAGGGGAAGGAGGGACAATTTCCTCCTGTACCAGTCAGATCTGATTTGACGGTACACTCACACAAAAATTAAAAAAAAAACAACCCTAAATGATGACTCTACACATAATTATGCAAAAGTATTCAGCAATGTGGTTTATAGCAAGTTATTGATAACATTTAAAAGAATGAAAATTCCAGAACACTCACTGTACTCATGCAGAACTTGTACATTAATCAAGAAGCAGTTCTTATAATAGAGCAAAGGAATACTGCATGGTTTAAAAATGAAAGGTGTGCATCAGGACTGTATCCTTTCTCCACATCTATTCAATCTGTACACTGAGTAAATAATACAAGAAGATGAGCTGTATTAAAAAGCATCAAGATTGGAGGAAATACATCAACAACCTATAGTATTCAGATGATACAACCTTGCTTATTTAAAGTAGAAAACTTGAAGCACTTCCTGAAGAAGATCAAGACCTTCATTATGGATTACACTTCAACATAAAGAAAACCAAAATCCTCACAAGTGGCCCAATAGGCAATATCATGATAAATGGAAAAAGATTGAAGATGTTAAAGATTTCCTTTTACTGGGGTTCATAATAACATCCTTGGTAACAGTAATCAAGAAATCAAAAGAAAAAATGCATTAGGGAAAATCATGGCAAGGCTCCCTTAGAAATGCTGAAGAAAGAAATGTTGAGCAAAGACATCAGTTTAAGGTGAACCTGACTCAAACCATGCAAAAAGCTGGACAATGAACAAGGAAGACCGCCCCCAAAATAATGCCTTATAATCACAATATTGGCAAAGTACAAATCACAGATGATGAAAAGAGCAAACAAATCTACACTGAAGGAAGTGCACTTGAAGTGCTTCTTAGAGCCAAGAGTTGTTATTCTTGTTGTTGTTCCTGCTGTTGTATGTACCATCAATTTACCTGCAACTCATAGTGACCCTATGTACAACAGCTCTGAAGGCTGCCCTGTCCAGAGCCAGTCTCACTAATTACAACACACCTCTTCCTATTACCCCAGTTACACTGTTGATTCATCACATTAGAGGTCTTCCTCTCCTACACCTGTCCCTCCACCTTTCTAAGTATGATATTCTTCTCCAAGGATTGGTACCTCCTGGCCACATGCCCAAAGTATGTGAGATGGAGTGTCAAAATCCTAGCCTACTCCAAGAAGAAACTTGGTTTCACCCTTTCCAAGACAGACTTATTTGTTTTCATGGAGGTCCATGGTATCTTCAAGACTCTTCTCCAGTACCACAACTCAAAGGCATTGGTTCTTCTCTTCTGTAATCCTTAGTCATTGTCCAGCTCTCTGACGCATAGCAAATAATTGTGAATACTCTAGCCTAGATCAGGTGCACCTTGTTCTCTAGACTTAACAAAGTTGCTTCTCAGTAGTGAAACAAATAGCAACATCATGATAGATGGGAAAAAGAGTGAAGCTGTCAATGATTACATTTTACTTGGATCCATAATCAATACCTATGGTAATAGTAAAGAAATCATGACAGCTGCTGACGCATGCTTGGGGTAAATTGCAGCGTGGGCTGAGGGAGAAGGAGAGAATAAGAGGGAAGAAAATTTGCAACAATGAATAAATAAAATAATTTTTAAAAATAATATCATACTCTACAACCAGGAGAAGATAAAGTAGATGAATGGGATCTTCTAAGACTCAAATCCCTATGCACATCCAAAACT